TGAGAGAATGGCGCCACCTACAGTTAGCTATATCACTCCCTTTCGTCCTGACTTTTCTTGTGATGATTGTGTTCCCTGAATCTCCTCGCTGGCTGATAACAAAAGGCAGATACAAAGAAGCTACCAAAATCATTGAAAAGATAGCTAAAGTGAATGGTACCGAGGCTCCACAAGACTTACTGGACAAACTGAGTGAAGACAGCAAAGAAGACAAGAAGCAGCCTTCTCGCATCCCTGTCACCCAACTTGATCTGCTCCGTACTCCCAATCTCTGCAAGAAAACTCTCATCCTTTGGGTTGACTGGTTTGTTGTCAACATGGTGTATTATGGACTATCTCTGAGTACCTCTGCCTTGGGGGTAGATGATTACCTTGCTGCCTTTGTCTCTGGTGCCATAGAGATACCCAGCTATCTGTTCTGTTGGTATGTGATGAACCGTTTTGGCAGACGCATTACCCTAGTTGCCTTCTTCATCTTTGGTGGAGTGTTTTGCCTCACTACAATCTTCATACCTCTTGGAGCTGCCAGAGCTGCAGTTGCCATGTTCGGCAAATTTGCAATCAGTGCAGCGTTCGGTCACATCTACATCTACTCCCTTGAAATCTATCCAACCATCATCCGGAGTATCGGCATGGGTACATCTTCCATGATGGCTCGTGTTAGTGGCATCCTCTGTCCTATCATCTTGAACCTGGGCAAGTACTGGAAACCACTACCTCTCTGTGTCTTTGGAGGAAGTGCCATCATTGCTGGAGTCCTGTCTCTGCTGCTCCCAGAGACCATGGGATACAGTCTGCCTGATACCATTCAGGATGGAGAGAACTTCGGCAGTAAGTCATACAATCATTTAATCTCCTGTCACTTTTTCTCATCCTTTGCTTGGTCTGAGGTTTGAAAGCGGCATTCCCCGTGCTATAATATCCCAAATAATAGATTCCTTTTCTAAATTGCTTTGTCTTAGCACTTCAAAAGTTATTCACTTGTGAATGAGATATCGACCCCCAAAAGATCAGCAAATATAATTAGTTACTGAATTATCACTGGTTCCCGCCCAACAATCAATAGCAAATATGTGCGGACCACGAGCCAGTCAGAGTCCGCTCGCAAAGTGGATCCGTCTGTGCCCGAAACAAATCGAAACACTTTCAGAGGTTTGGAGACTTCTAAAAAAATAACAGCGTTGCTGTTGAAACCCCTCAGCCAGAGTCAAGTTATCGACCGGAAACCATTAACCTTTAACTCAACATGGTCACCTTGACCTTTGGCCTCCGCCCCCAGAACCATGCAGTGCCAACATGCCTGTACCAATGGGAAACCCCCTACCGAAGTTAGACACCGAAATTTCTTTTCTAACTCAAGTTATCATTCAGAACCATTGACATTTAACTCACCACGGTGACCTTGACCTTTGACCTATTGACCCTCAAACCAATCCCAACTTGCCTGTACCCAAGGGCAACCCCGTACCTAAGTCAGACCCTAAAATCTCATTTCTAACTGAAGTAATCATCCGGAAACCATTTACATTTAACTCACCACGGTGACCTTGACCTTTGACCTTTTGACCCCAAAACCAACCCCAACTTGCCTACTCCCAAGGGCAACCCTCTACCAAAGTTAGACATCAAAAACTCATTTCTAACTTAAGTTATCATCTGGAAACCATTTACATGTAACTCACCACGGTTACCTTGACTTTTGAACTTTTGACCCCAAAACCAATCCCAACTTGCCTACTCCCAAGGGCAACCCCCTACCAAAGTTAGACATCAAAATCTCATTTCTAACTCAAGTAATCATCCGGAAACCATTTACATTGAACTCACCATGGTGACCTTGACCTTTGACCTTTGGACCCCAAAACCAATCCCAACTTGCCTACTCTCAAGGGCAACCCCCTACCAAAGCTACACATCAAAATCTCATTTCTAACTCAAGTTATCATCAGGAAACCATTTACCTTTAACTCACCATGGTGACCTTGACCTTTGACCTTTTGACCCCAAAACCAATCCCAACTTGCCTACTCCCAAGGGCAACCCCCTACCAAAGTTACAATCCCAAACAACATTTCTAACTCAAGTTATCATCCGGAAACTAAGCTGCCCGGACGGACACACTGACATACATACGGCCGGACGCACTGACGGACGGACGTCCGCCCTAGGCGATGACAATACCCCACGAGCCTCTCGGCTGAGGGGTAAAAAGGGGGAAAAGAGGGTTGTTTTGGTTGCAATAAAACGTACGAGTTGAAAATTATTAATTATAAAAAAAATTGGGGGGGGGGAACACAACTTTCATCGACTGTACTTTCTGAAAAGACAATAAATATGCCACAGTTCCTAAATGTGCTAAAAAAAATTCAACTACAGCACGTTTGTCTTATTTACTTTCTGATATTACAGAGGGAAGAAGTTTCCAGCTTTGCGTCAAGGGCAATGATGTTGGAGAGAATGAGAGTCCCACTCAAGCTCCTATCGACTACCTGCCACTATCCACAATGGATCAAACCCCCAAGCAACCTGTGGATGTCTGAATGGTTTATATTATTGTGTTGTTTTAACTTGATACATATATGGTTGGTGTATGCATTTTTACAATTTTAAAAAAATTATTTTGGATATTTTAAAAGGGAAAATGGTTTTAAGTTGTGATTCTGTGTAGCTTGCTTATACAGGGTGAGTAAAATAATCTGAAACCCTAATGTCGGGACTCGGGACTATTATTTTAGTGAAGTTATGCATGTAGCACTTTCAAAATCTGTGCATTCTTTCAACAAAACAAAAACAATTAACACATTTGTGATTTGTTTTTGTTTTGCTGAAAGAACACTTACCTATTTGTGATCCATGGACAGAACTTTAAAACAGTGGTTGTGTTTACAATTCCGTAACTTGAAAATTACTTGAGTCATTTGAATGATTCTTGTACTAAAAGAAAGCTGATGAATTAGCCTTTCACATCCTAGATTTTGAAAGTGCTACCTGGAGAATTTCACTTAAACAATGGTCCCGACATTTGGGTGTTTTTTTTTATACTCACCCTGCATAGGTTTTTTTTTCTCCAAACAAACATGATACTTTAAAAGAGATATGTGACGTGTATTTTGCTAGTTATTTTCTAAAAAAAAACAGTCTGATTTATAACTCTAGTCTAGATGTTTCCAAGCTTCAAGCAAAGTATATACATACTGTAAAAAGGCTCAAGCTGAATTTCTTAGATGAGATCATTATGTATTTATAACTTTGTGGCTAAAGCCATCATCAAAAAAATTAAACCAACATATATTGGAAAAGCATTTTATGGTTTGTATTGCTTTAGAAGTGCATACCCAATGTTCTTGAAAAAAACTCAAGAGTTTTCTCTTCATAAATTTCCAACTTGTACGTATTAATTCAACCTCAACAAAACCCTTATTACATTTCTTTGTTGGACGTCTGCAACCTTTGGAAGAAAAAAATGGTTTTTATTTTGGGCACGAACAGATCTACTTTGCAAGCAGACTGGCTCCCAGTCCATACATTATTGATACTGATTCCCGGGCAGCACCAGTCTACCCTGCAAGAATGCAATTATTGTCTGGCTGCCAATGATTCGAAATTCGTGAAGTAATAATTCAATAAATAAACATGCGTCAACTTTTCTAGACAATGCCTCATCCAGTAATGAAAAACATTCGTACAACTAATAGAAAAAAATTCGGAAAAGAAATCAATATTTCGGGATGAAATTCCAAAAAAGGACAGTTAACGGAAGTTTATACTACATATGTACAGAGTTTAAGGGACAAACAAACATTTGTGGAAAGGTTCATTTTTCTGTTCTTTAGTTTTAGTTAATGAAAAAAATAATGGCTGTGGTTATGGGTAATTTCAAAATGATTGAATAAATGCTTGGATGATATGAGCTGATCAAAACGTTCTCAGACAACAAAAGTTATATTAGAATTTTCACTTATTAATATTTTTATGTATTTTTACAGATTACTCATATGTCTCTGCTGAAAAATTCTACTAAAAATACTGGGGAAAAACAAAGAATTTTAGTGTTTTTTTATGGGAGTTGAAGGTCGTTACATTTTCAATTCATATTAAAAATACCATTTTTCTGCCAATAAAAGGTTTTTCACCAAATGAATGCACAAACTACAAGTGATATCGCCTTTGTCTGCAGTCCCTAATCAAAGTTACATCAAAATAAATGAGGTAGACAAAGAAACATTTAAATTTGAACGATGATCTCTAATGTTCCCTACATGACCTTTGACCTTAACATCCCGAAGGAGAATTGTCTCTTGCCACCCAAGGCTCACTGCTTCAAAGCATCACTGCTTCAAAGTTTCATCAAAATCCATCACAGCATGTACAATGTTAAAACTATCTCCAAAAATGTTACCTAAACTTCTATGAATTCACCCTAACCCTGCTAAATACCACAGAATGCACCAGTAGTAAAAACATTGTTGCAAGTTGTTGCATTTAGCAGTCTCCTGATCTGATGCATTCCATGTCTGCATTCTGTTGCATTTGGCAGGGTGCCTAGAGAATACCCCCTTAATCAATTATTGACCTATCAGCTGACCGTTGATATTCGACCTTTCACCTAAAATATATCCCACATTATCTACGACACTCAGTGACCCTTGTGTCCAAGTTTTATGGAATTCAGTTGGGTACTTGGGAAATGATAGCAATTTGAAAAACCTGAACATGTACAATGTACGGGCATACTGTTATGCAGTCCTACAGATGTGAGTGACACAAAAACCCCAGCTGTCATAATATATGTGTATTTCTCTATCTTTGTACTTCCAATGCTAATGCAGTGCTAGACTACTTTGTGATTGCGGGATTATATACACCGACAACAATGTAACACTATTGGTTTGACAATTGTCTTTGTACTTCCAATGCTAATGCAGACTACAGTGCTTGACTACTTTATGCTTGAGTAACACTGATGGATTCATATCTAGGTTAAAAGGACGGTGGTTGGTAAAGGGAACACACCCTTCCATGTGGAACAGCTCAGCTCATACTTTTTATGCAGACACACTGATCAAGTACTGAACAATTCAACATGCAGTACGAGGACATTTTGAATCATATCGGGCCTTTTGGCAAGTACCAGAAACTGCTGGTGTTTGCCTTGTTTTTGGTTATTATTCCATCTCCATTTCACTTCATAGCGCAGGTGTTCCTGGCTGCTAACACCGATCACTGGTGTGCAGTACCAGCCAGCCAGATGATCAACTGCAGCCAACTCCAGCTGGCTGAGTGTCAAGAAGAGCAGAAGAGCTACAGTATTCCCTATGAGATTGATGATGATGGAAACAAAGTCTACTCCTCGTGTGAGCGGTATGTCATGAATGATGAAGACGTTGGTAGAAACGAGAGTTTGAATTCAACGGACGTCATCTCCTGCGATGCTGGCTGGGAATTTGATCACTCACGCTACAAGTCCACCATCAATGAAGATTTCAGCTTGGTCTGTGACAGACAGGATCAACCTGCCTATGCCCAGTCAGTTTGGTTTGCGGGATTACTAGTGGGTTCCTTGGTGTGGGGTTCTGTGGGCGACTGGATTGGTAGGAGAAAGACTTTCATCTTGACTGCCATTCTTGTCACAATATCATCGACTGTTACATCTTTTGTGCCCAACTTTACTGCCTATGCTGTCATGCGCTTCTTTACAGCAGCCTGTGGTTATGGTGTACATCTCATGATATATGTCTTAGCTTCTGAAATAGTTGATCCTAAAAATCGTGTAGCTGCAACAAATGGGATTTTTGTTGCCTTTTCTTCGAGTTACATGCTTCTGTCCCTATTGGCATTTCTTCTGAGAGAATGGCGCCACCTACAGTTAGCTATATCACTCCCCTTCGTCCTGACTTTACTTGGGATCATTGTGTTCCCTGAATCTCCTCGCTGGCTTATAACAAAAGGCAGATACAAAGAAGCTGCCAAAATCATTGAAAAGATAGCTCAAGTGAATGGTACCAAGGCTCCAGAAGACTTACTGGACAAACTGAGTGAAGAAAGCAAAGAAGACAAGAAGCAGCCTTCTCGCATCCCTGTCACCCAACTTGATCTGATCCGCACTCCCAACCTACGCAAGAAAACACTCATCCTTTGGGTTGACTGGTTTGTTGTCAACATGGTATTTTACGGAATATCTTTGAGTACCTCTGCCTTGGGGGTAGATGATTACCTTGCTGCCTTTGTCTCTGGAGCCATAGAGATACCTAGTAATCTTTTCTGTTGGTACGTGATGAACCGTTTTGGCAGACGCATTACCCTAGTTGCCTTCTACATTTTTGGTGGAGTGTTTTGCCTCATTACAATCTTCATTCCTCTTGGAGCTGGCAGAGCTGCAGTAGCCATGTTCGGCAAATTTGCAATCAGTGCAGCGTTCGGTCACATCTACATCTACTCTCTTGAAATCTATCCAACCATCATTCGGAGTATCGGCATGGGTACCTCTTCCATGGTGGCTCGTGTTAGTGGCATCCTCTGTCCTATCATCTTGATCCTGGGCAAGTACTGGAAACCACTACCTCTCTGTGTTTTTGGAGGAAGCGCCATCATTGCTGGAGTCCTGTCTCTGATGCTCCCAGAGACCGTGGGCTGCAGTCTGCCTGATACCATCCAGGACGGAGAGAACTTCGGCAGTAAGTCATACAATCATTTACTCTCCTATCACTTTTGCTCATCCTTTGCTTGGTCTGAGGTATGAAAGTGGCATTCCCTGTCCCAAAAAATTTGATCATTTCTAAATTGCTATTTTTTTTAGCACTTCAAAATGTATTCACTTGTGAATGAAACATCGAACCCCCCCCCCCCCCCCAAGAAATCAGCCAATATATAGAGGTGTTCCCTAATTTGGTGCACATTCGTGTTTTGCCTGACTTTCCTCATGCAGTGTTGCCAAAACTCTTCGTAGAAAAACTTTAAATTCATTCAGTGAAATACTGGTACCTTAATAATTCTTGTTGTTGAACCTTTGTTACCAATTGTATTGTCTTGAAATACCACATTTGATCATCCTTTGCGTGGTCAGATGTCTTAAAGCTGCATTCCCTGTTGCTATTGTTTCCCACCCTGCAATCACTATCAATTAGGTGTGGTTCGCAAGCAAGTTTGCTCGCAAAGAGGATCTATTTGTGCCCAAAACTTAAAAAAAAAAAATTCAGAGAGTTTCAGACTTCCCAAAAATGGGGAAAAAGAGGATTTTGGTTGGAATACAACGTAGAAGTTGAAAATTTAACAAACAAAAAAACCCCAAAAACCAAATAACAAAATAATTTGTTGAAGAAGACGGGGAACACAACTTTCGTTGACTGCACATTCTGAAACGACCCACAACTTCCAAAATGTGCTACATTTTTCCAACTACAGCACGTTTTTTGGTTTACTTGCTGGTATAACAGAGGGAAGAAGCTTCCAGCTTTGCGTCAAGGGCAATGATGACGGAGAGAATGAGAGTCCCACTCAAGCTCGCACAGACTACCTGCCTCTATCTACAATGGATCAAACTCCCAAGCAACATGTGGATGTCTGAAGGATTTAAATTATGGAATTCTAAATGATATATTTTTAGGTGTTAGGCATGAGCCCAACACCTATTACTTTTTCAAGAATTTTCTATTCTTACTGATGAAAGATTTTTATTGTTGAAAGTGGAAAAAAGATGTGGAAAAATTGCTGAAAATCAACCACAAGAGAGATATAATCCTGATTTTTGCTTTAAATAAGGCCAAAAAAAAATTACTCGGTCTCTGGTCAGACTAAAGTTCTGGAATTGATGCGGCGACGTGGCTTTTTTTTTTCAATCTTGGATTGTACAGACATTGTCCTCCGTAATTTGCCTTGGTGCCCTTGATCATTTGCCTTGGTGCAATGTCCCATTCCTTGGGGCTTTTTGGTACAAAAATTTGAGGAGGTGCGGCAATAGAGGGCGCTGTTGGAGCTACCGCAGAACATTTTGGGAAAAAAAAGATTGACGATCATGATTAAAATCGACGCGCGCACTGACCAGAGACTGACCATATTTTTTTTTTGTCTAACATTAGCTCTCAAGCTTTCTGGTAATAACGTAAAGATGACCACATCAAGTATCAGATTACAAGGAACAAATATTTCTAGATTTCATCTTTCAAATCAATACAAAATCAACTGTGAGAGATCTGATTGTGCGTTTTGTGGGAATTTATAGAATAATCCAGGGTCTACATTTTTTACCCTTCTTTAGTGGTCCAAACCAGAAGTGCCTTAATATTTGAAAGTGGAAAAAAGGGGAACTTGCTTTAAGTGATGCTAGTCTCTGGCCAGGTTGTACTTTACAAAAACATTACCAGTGACATCATAGAATGTTAGAATGCCCTCTAGCTACAGGTTGAAAATGTTACAAATTAATAATCAGTTGATGAATGTGGCTTAATTTGCTGAAATCACTTTATAATTGACACATACCGGTATATATTCAGCTTCATACTAAGAACAAGTAAGTTCAGGGGGAGACAGTTTGATGACGTCACCAGACCAGAAGAAACAATGAAAAGACCTTTAAACTGAAAAAAGAAGTTGCTGAAAAGTCAACTGCGAGAGATATATTATCCAAAAATTTGCTTCAAATAGCACAGATAACATAGCTCTAAAGTTTTGTGGTAATGACGTCACGATAACGTCATCTAATATCAGAAAACAAGCGATACCATGTGTTTCTTCCTTCAAACTCAAGTTGACTATTTAAAAAAAAACAATTTAATGGAAAATGGTTTTAGTTTTCAGTTGCTGTAGCTTGCTTATATTTTTCTAATTTCGAACAAACATAATTCTAAGGGAGATATATTACCTGTATTTTGCTGGTAATTTTATAACACAACGAGTTTGATTTAAAATCGTAGTCTAGTTGTTTGCAAACTTTTAGTAAAAAAGTATACATACAATAAAAAGGTTTGAGTTGAATTTCTTAGTTGAGATCATTATGTACATAATTTTTGGGGGCAAAGCCAAACATAAAATTAATGAATAAAAAAGTGGGAAAACACTTTTATGGTTACCATTTTTTTAGAGCTGCATATCCCATGTTCTTCAACAAACGCAAACACAAACTGCTTACTTAAAAAAGGAGTTTTACTACAGAGAAGACCATGTCCATCAAAATTTATCACTCACTCTGCTTCACATTATAGTTCAGGACTAAATCCATTGAAATCCACCACTGGTGCTGGTGGATTTGGACAGACTTGGTACACATGGCTTATCGGCCAAAAACTCACAAATGGGGGTGGTTTTGAAGCAGTCGGTAAGGTTACGGGTAATTTTCAACTTGTATGTTTTAATTCTACACCCTCCCCCCAAAAACCTATTTTTTTTTCTGTTTTGGATGTCTGCAGCCTTCGAAAAAATAGAACAAAAATTTTAATAGAACAAAACAGCTTTGCGAGCAGACTGGCTCCCAGTCCGTACATTATTGATACTGATTGCGGGGTGGGAATCAGCCTTCCCCGCCAGAAAAAAAATATTGTCTAGCAGCCAATGATTCAAAATTTGTAAAGTAATAATTCAATAAGTAAACATGGGTCACCTTTTTTCAGTTGATGCATCATTCAAAGGTGAATAACATTTGTATTGCTAGAAAAATAACAATTTAGAAAAGAAATGTATTTTTCTGGATGTAATTCCAAACTAGCGCGGGTAATGTAACTTTAAAGTACATAATGTACAGGATTAATTAATGGATAAACAAAAATTGTGGAAAGGTTTATTTTTAGTTTCTTCTTTCAGTTAATAAAAACCTGATGGTTGTGGTTATTGGTAATTTAAAGATGATTGAATAAACTGAGCAAACTATTAATAGACAAAAAAAGTTGTTTTGGAATTTTCACTCAAAAAATACTTAAAAATAACTCTGCCATTTTATTACTTATTTTTTTTAATGGGAATTGAAAGCCTTTACATTTCCAGTCGTTATAAAAAAAAAACTTTTTTGCTCCAGATGAAAATACATACAATTGATACGCAGAGTATGTGTCGCTTTCCTTTCGCAGTCGCTATAATCCCAGTAACATCAAAATCGTCAAATTATGTAGATAAAGAAACATTTGAATTTGAACATTCATAGGGCAGGTGTTCCTGGCTGCTAACACCGATCACTGGTGTGCAGTACCAGCCAGCCACATGATCAACTGCAGCCCAACTCCAGCTGGCTGAGTGTCAGGAAGAGCAGAAGAGCTACAGTATTCCCTATGAGATTGATGATGATGGAAACAAAGTCTACTCCTCGTGTGAGCGGTATGTCATGAATGATGAAGACGTTGGTAGAAACATAAGTTTTAATTCAACAGACGTCATCTCCTGCGATGCTGGCTGGAAATTTGATCACTCGAGCTACAAGTCCACCATCAATGAAGATTTCAGCTTGGTCTGTGACAGACAGGATCTACCTGCCTTTGCCCAGTCAGTTTGGTTTGCAGGATTGCTGGTTGGTTCCTTGGTGTGGGGTTATGTGGGCGACTGGATTGGTAGAAGAAAGACCTTCATTTTAACTGTCATTCTTGTCACAATTTCATTGACTGTTACGTCTTTTGTGCCCAGTAGCTATGATTTGCAATCAGTGCAGCGTTTGGTCACATCTACATCTACACTCTTGAAATCTATCCAACCATCATCCGGAGTATCGGCATGGGTACATCTTCCATGATGGCTCGTGTTAGTGGCATCCTCTGTCCTATCATCTTGATCCTGGGCAAGTACTGGGAACCACTACCTCTCTGTGTCTTTGGAGGAAGTGCCATCATCGCTGGAGTCCTGTCTCTGATGCTTCCAGAGACCATGGGATACAGTCTGCCTGATACCATTCAGGATGGAGAGAACTTCAGCAGTAAGTCATACAATCATTTACTCTCCTATCACTTTTTCCCCTCTTTTGCTTGGGCTGAGGTTTGAAAGCGGCATTCCCCATGCTATTTCGTACCGAATAATAGATTCCTTTTCTAAAATTGCTATTTTTCGAGCACTTCAAAAGTTATTCACTGGTGCATGAGATATCGACCCCCAAAAGATCAGCCAATATAATTAGTTACTGAATTATCACTGGTTCCCGCCCAACAATCAAAATCAAAATATGTGCGGACCACGAGCCAGTCTGCTTTCCAAGTGGATCTGTCTGTGCCCGAAACAAAACAAAACACTTACAGAGAATTGGAGACTTCTAAAAAAGGGGAAAAGAGGGGTTTTTTGGTTTGAAGAAAACGAACGAGTTGAAAATTTTTTATAAAAAAAAAAATATATTTATTACAGAGTATGGGGAACGCAACTTTCATCGAATGTACTTTCTGAAAAGACCCTAAATGTGCCACAGTTCCTAAATGTGCTACAATTTTTCAACTACAGCACGTTTTTCTTGTTTACTTTCTGGTATTACAGAGGGAAGAAGCTTCCAGCTTTGCGTCAAGGGCAATGATGATGTAGAGAATGAAAGTCCCACTCAAGCTCCCATCGACTACCTGCCACTATCCACAATGGATCAAACTCCCAAGCAACCTGTGGATGTCTGAATACAGGCGCGGATCCAGGATTTTTTTAGACGGGGGGCACACCTTTGGAGCAACTAATGTGAGTGCGGGGCGCAAAGCCCTTACGGCGCTGGGTCCGGGGCCTGCTTAAGAACCCCGAAAAAACTTTGAATTCTAGATGCTCTGTGCTGCAATCTGAGGCGATTCCTGGCCCCTTTCCCCTGAATTATTTGAGCAAAATTTTATTAGATCATCAGGATTGCTTTTACAAATTGTAAGTTACTGGTGTACGCACTTCAAAGTTGAAAACCATGTATTTTCGTCTTCATATTTTCTTGCATTTTATTTTTGGTAAAGGAATTGTATTGACTTAGTTTGTAAACTGTTGCAGCGATGCGTTGGGGCATTTGCTCCGAGTACTATATGCGAGCGCAGGTCACAAATGTCTTACGGTGTGGAATCCAGGCCCGCTGAAGGGCCCCGGAAAATTTGGATTCTAGTTGCTCTGTGGTGCAATCTCAGGCGATTCCTGGCCCCTTTTCCCTGAGCCCTGAGTTATTTGAGCAAAAGTTTTAAGATTATAACGAATTTTTCATTGGTTTAAAATATACTCTTGCTTTTTTATGTCTTTTAAGTTTCTTCAGTTCTTCACTTGATAACCATGTATTTCGTCTGCATAGTTATGTTCTTGCATTTCATTTTTGAAAGTGAATTATATAGAGTTAGTTTGTCAACTGTTGCAACAATGGGAAGGGACATCTGCCTCGAGGACTAAAGCGGAGCGCCAATGTCATACGTTGTGTGGTCCGGGGCCTGCTTAAGGGCCCCAGGAAACTTGGGATTCTAGATGCTCTGTGGTGAAATCCGAAGCGATTCCTGGCCCCTCTTTCCCCGAGTTATTTGAGCAAAATATTTCAAGATTATAAGATTTTTTTTATTGGTTTAAAAATACTCTTGCTTATACAAGCCTTTTAAGTTTCTTCTGTATCTCACTTGATAACCATGTATTTTCGTCTGCATAATTATTTTTGTGCATTTTATTTTTGAAAAGGAATTCTATAGACTTTGTAAACTGTTGAAAGGATGCTTTGCTTTCTAATGTTTTGTTTCAAGTTGAAATTTTCAGTTTATCAATAAGAACAAACTGCTTGAACATGTAAATTGAATTCCAGTTTCAAATTAGTGTAATTTAATCAAATTAAAACAGAGGAGCAATTAGGCCTCCATGCACATTGTAAATTCACAGCTCAGATTTATCTCATGACTAATCTCATGCATGTATAATGTAATTGCCCAGACATTTTACAGAAATGTCCTTGGTTTTAATTCAGTCCAGTTTCAATTTCAATGATTAGGGCCTATACATGTACATGTATTTGTAAATAAACCATCGGCGCAGCAAGACAAATTGTATAACACAATCATCACAGTTCCTATACATGCAACTGGTCTCTTACAAAAAATGGTCATCTTGCCTTTTGGCCCCATGATTGCAATTCCCACATGGTACGACACATTTTGAAGGTGGATTCGTCATTTGGCTATGTAAAAAAATACAGGCTTTTCTGCAAAGTTGCAGAAAAGCCACACAAAAAATTCTCCTCGGTACAACACTCGGACCGTGTGATTTCGAATATTTTGTTCGTACTCTATAGTCGTATAAACTCTTGCATCGAATGTTTGTTGAATCAAATAAGTTGTAGAGTCTCTAATATTTGAAAATTTGCCAACGAACGACGGTATGTTTTTGCCTAGTTCCGGATCGCACGTGCAAGTAGGAACTACACACGCATGCTTTTATGTGACGTATTCTGTGATAGATCAAAGGTCTGTGCGTGTCCGTGCTGTCCCGCCGCAGACAAAAGTTTAAAAATCATTGACGTTAATTCTCTTTTCAATATTTGCTCGAATTCTCCTGAATGAACTGTTTTTCAAAAAATTAAATAATACTTGACCAAAAAATTGATTTTCTTGCGTGATTTTGTTTTTCCAGCAAAGCAGTTTTTGATCGAATCAGAACTGATTAAACTGATCGGGAACTAGGAAAAGTGGCATCGGTACTTTTGACATCGCAAAATCAAAATTAAAAGAGCTTAAAGGGAATGTACATCATTGGCTGTCGCTGTTATTTTCAGAAATGAACTATTTGAGGGGTTAGTATAATAGATCAAATATTGTTAAACTGACATGTTTGAAATTTTGTGTTCGAAAATGCTGGAAAAACCAAGAAAAACAAAAATGTTCAAGTAGTCTGGTTCCTGGACTCAACTAAAGATAAAATGGATCAATTTATAGATGCCAGAAAATTGTAAGGTAAGGGGATCCAGTCTAGCTGGCCTGCACCTGTTCATGAACATGTAACCAATAGCAAACAAAATTTGGACTAAAAAAAGGGTAAATTTGGAGCAGAAGTCGAACAAAAGTTAGGTTTTTCCAACGATGGTTGGCCGACCAGCGTTGGAAATGTATACAAATATACAATTTTCTTGAAAATGACTTCACACCAGGTGCCATAATTTTACAGGTTGCTTTAGACTGTCATTTACCAACATCCTAGTGCGGTATTTCGTAAAAACTTGGTAGTTTTATTTTTCGATGTTTGCAAATGTTGTATATTCCCTTTAAATTTGGAAAATTATTTTTTAGTATTTCCATCACTCAAGGTAAACTTTTTAATCAATGTCACTTGAATTCGTGGATCAGTTGAGCCGAAAACAGCCTGAATGATGTTTGCTATCCGGAATGGGAAAACGACTGTACGATCAAATTTTCCTCCCTTGAACTTCAGAAAGCAACACACCGCGTTCCGTCTAGCTTGCCAGAGCACGTCTCAAGTGCTAAATCTTGCCTTTTGGCGAAACCTGCTGACTGTTTTTGTCCTAAGAACAAAAGGGCCTGTCATATTATATGCACTCCCATAGGAGACTTTACGGCAACCAAAAAATTAAATTAATTTAACAATCATAGCGAGGATGCAAGAAAATGACAATGATCTCTAATGTCCCCTACATGACCTTTGACCTCAACCTCCCAGAGAAGAATTGTCTCTTGCCACCCAAGGCTCACTGCTTCAAAGTTTCATCAGAATCCATCAGAGCATGTACAATGTTACAAACGTTCTTCAAAAACTCAACCTAAACTTTTATGAATTAATCAATTATTGACCTCAGCTGACCTTTGACACACGACCTTTCACCTGAAAAATACTCCACATTATCTTCGACCCTCAGTGGTCCTTGCATCCAAGTTTTATGGAATTCAGTCGGGTACTTGGAAAATGAGAGTAATTTGAAAAACCTGAACACGGGCATACGCGCATACAGTCCTATACAGAATTGAGTGACACAAAAAACCCAGTTCTGTAAGAGGTCACAAAAGTTGTTAAATATGTGTATTTATATAATTATTCTTTGTGCTTTCAATGCTTTCATAGACTACTGTACATAAAGCACAGCCTGTTATGCTTGATGGGGTGAAATACCCAGACAACAATACACATACTCTGCTTGAGCAATGCACAGGTCCTATTCACAGATTGGATTCATGGGTTAAAAGGGCAGTAGTTCGTTTTGCCTGAGGGAATTAACACACCCTTCCGCATGCATCAGCTCAGCTCAAACTTTTCATGCTGACACACTGATCAAGTACTGAAGAATTCAACATGCATTACGAGGACATTTTGAATCATATCGGGCCTTTTGGCAAGTACCAGAAACTGCTGGTGTTTGCCTTGTTTTTGGTTATTATTCCACCTCCCTTTCACTTCATAGGGCAGGTGTTCCTAGCTGCTAACACCGATCACTGGTGTGCAGTACCAGCCAGCCAGGTGATCAACTGCAGCCAACTCCAGCTGGCTGAGTGTCAGGAAGAGCAGAAGAGCTACAGTATTCCCTATGAGATTGATGATGATGGAAACAAAGTCTACTCCTCGTGTGAGCGGTATGTCATGAATGATGAAGACGTAGGAAGAAACATGAGTTTTAATTCAATGGACGTCATCTCCTGCGATGCTGGCTGGAAATTTGATCACTCAAGCTACAAGTCCACCATCAATGAAGACTTCAGCTTGGTCTGTGACAGACAGGATCTACCTGCCTATGCCCAGTCAGTTTGGTTTGCAGGATTGCTGGTTGGTTCCTTGGTGTGGGGTTATGTGGGCGACTGGATTGGTAGAAGAAAGACCTTCATTTTAACTGTCATTCTGGTCACAATTTCAGCGACTGTTACATCTTTTGTGCCCAACTTTACTGCCTACACTGCGATGCGCTTCATTACAGCAGCCTGTGCTTATGGTGGAAGTCTCATGATATATGTCTTAGCTTCTGAAATAGTTGGTCCTAAAAATCGTGTAGGGGCAACAACTGTGCTACTTCTAGCCTTTCCTGTAGGTTACATGATTCTGTCCCTTCTGGCATTCCTTCTGAGAGAATGGCGCCACCTACAGTTAGCTATATCACTCCCTTTCGTCCTGACATTTCTTGTGATCATTGTGTTCCCTGAATCTCCTCGCTGGCTGATAACAAAAGGCAGATACAAAGAAGCTACCAAAATCATTGAAAAGATGGCTAAAGTGAATGGTACCGAGGCTCCAGAAGACTTACTGGACAAACTGAGTGAAGACAGCAAAGGAGACAAGAAGCAGCCTTCTCGCATCCCCGTCACCCAACTTGATCTGATCCGCACTCCCAACCTCCGCAAGAAAACTCTCATCCTTTGGGTTGACTGGTTTGTTGTCAACATGGTGTATTATGGACTATCTCTGAGTACCTCTGCCTTGGGGGTAGATGATTACCTTGCTGCCTTTGTCTCTGGAGCCATAGAGATACCTAGTAATCTTTTCTGTTGGTACGTGATGAACCGTTTTGGCAGACGCATTACCCTAGTTGCCTTCTACATCTTTGGTGGAGTGTTTTGCCTCATTACAATCTTCATTCCTCTTGGAGCTGCCAGAGCTGCAGTTGCCATGTTGGGCAAATTTGCAATCACTGCAGCATTCGGTCACATCTACATCTACTCTCTTGAAATCTATCCAACCATCATCC